GCGCCACCAGACAGATCAAGATGCAGGCTTTTGCAGTACCCTGTAAGGCTATATATCACGATTTCTGGGAGCTACATTTTCCCCATCTCTAAGAGACACTATTATTCTGACTTTATTACCATTCTTCTGTAGAAAAGGTTGCTATGACTCTGAGCCAACTCAATAGAACCTAATAATTATAGTGTCACTAATAAGGAGTTTTTAGAAAGGTATAATTCTTAAAAAGAATATTCTTTTTTAAAATTATTATTATTTTGTGTGTGTACTGTCAAATCAGATCTGACAGGTAGAGGAGGAGATTGTCCCTCCTTCTCCAGCAAAGCATCAAGTGGATTCTAATTGCACAGCTCTGGGATTGCAGTGCAGCTGCTTGCCAGTAGGCCACCAGGGCTCACCAGAACAGATATTCTTATGGTATACCCTGCCTTCAGTCAAGATTCATCTGACATCTACAATGACGTCCAGGTGCCATGGCCTCTTTTAAACCCAGCATGAACTTCTGGCAGTTCTCTGTTAATGTATTGTTCTAACCATTTTCAGATAATCTTCACTAATGTTTTGTCTGCATGTGATATAAAGATATTGTTCAATAATTTCCACATTCTTTGTATCACCTTTCTTGGGATCAAGAAAGAATAAGGATCTATTCTGATCACCTCGACAGATAACTTACCCTCCAAATTTCCAGGTACAGACTACTGACCACATCCAGGGTTGCCTCAGTTAGTTGAAACATTTCAACTCCATCTATTATTTTTGTTTTCTTATTTTTTTGCCAATGCCTTTAATGCACCTTGGACTTCAACACCAATGGCTCTTGACGATACGCTACTTTGCATATCTCTCCACCCTTCTTTGATGCTTCCTGGATCATTCAAGATTTTACCAAGGGCATCTATTAACATTGCAATTCCAGGCCTGGATTTATTTTTCATTTCATTCAGCTTAAGGAATTCTGAAAACATTTAAGTAAGTTCTTCTGTTTTTATTCTCTCACTCTAGCTCTTTGAACATTGTTATAATACTTTGCTTTGTTGGAGAAGCTAATATCAGCGCAAAACAAGGCCAGGTGCTGATTGTAGAACAGAACATCATGTGCATGTCACATTAAGGATGAAAAAAATAAAAGCAAGTCCATGAGAATGAAAATATCATCTTGAGTCTATCCCACTCGAATTAAAAAAAAAATATCTTAAGAATGGTTGTGAAGCACTGAACTCCAATGATCAAAAGCAAGATGACTTGTGGAATGATATCAAGGATATCGTCTATGAAGAGAACAAAGAAGGAGAAGAAAGGAAAAAAATGAAATGAATGTCAGAATAGAACCTTAAAATTACAATAGAGGGAAGAAATATTAAAGAAAAAACCTGAGGAGACTTTAAAATGCAGCTCAAGACAAAGCAAAGTATTAAAACAAAAATGTGCAGAGACCTAGAATTCAAAAATAAAAAGGGATGAATGTGCTCAGTTCAGAGAAACACGCAAGTGGGGTATCTGCCCAAAGGATCTCTAGACCATTGACTTCAGATCAAGAACATATCAATGTCTCAAAGAAAGCAGGCTATCCCACACAATACACAAGAAAAAGAAAGATGTCACCCCCAAAGGGTGACAAAGTATCAGTGTATTTCCTGAAGCCGGAAAGTCTAATGGTACTTTCTGACACAGAATTTAAAAGAGGAGTGATTGAATATATTCAATGGATGAAAGACAAACTTGATGAATTGCAGGATACTACAAGAAAAAACCAGGAGGAGGTAAAAAACCAATGCAGAACCTTGCAGAGAAAACAAACGAGGCATTAGCAGCACTGGAAAAACAAGAATCCACTATTCAAAATACAATGTCCAATGTTTCAGATGCTGTCAACATGATGGACAGACACGTGAACAGAGTTGAAGAGATGGAACACAGAACTAATGAAATTGAAGACAGAATTGTCACCACTGATCTGCTAGAGCAAAAAAGCAGACTCAAGAAAGAAGGAAAAAGAAGAAAACTTAAGAATAATATGGAACATCATCAAGAGAAATAACACACACATTATTGGGATCCCAGAAAAGTAAGAAGCAAGTAAAGGCACAGAAAAAGTTATGGAAGAACTACTAGAGGAAAACTTCCCAGGCATAATGAAGAACGACAGAATATATATTCAAGAAGCTCAGAGAACACCATATAGATTAGACCCCAAAAGAAAAACATCAAGGCATATCATAGTTAAATTTGCCAGAACCAAAGAAAAGGAGAGAATCCTGAAAGCAGCAAGGGAGAAACAAAGAGTAACCTATAAGGGAGAAAAGATAAGTTTAAGTGCCAATTTTACAGCAGAAACCACGCAAGCAACAAAGAGAGGAAGGACATATATCAAACACTCAAAGAATACAACTGTCAACCCAGAATACTGTACCCAGCAAAACTATCCATCAAATATGAAGGCGGGATCAAGATATTCCCAGAAAAGCAGAACTTAAGAGAGTTTGTAAAAACAAGACCAGCTTTGCAGGAAAGACTCAGAGATGTCCTTCTTACAGACATACCAGAGAAAGCCACATGGTCCAAAGTAACTAGCAACAAAACCAAAAAGACCTCAATGCAATGATACCAATAAAACCTAGCCTCTCAAAAGTCATACTGAACATGAGTAGTTTAAATGCACCACGGAAGAAAAAAGAGAAGCAGATTGCATTAAAAAACAAAATCCAACAATATGTTGTCTACAAGAGACGCACCTGAAAAATGAAGATAAAGACAGGCTAAAAATAAAAGAGTGGAGGAAAATGTACCAAGCAAATGGCAACCAGAAAAAAGCAGGAGTAGCGATATTAATATCTGAAAAAATAAATGTCAATGTAAAAACAATCACAAAGGACAAGAAAGGTCATTACATAAAGCTGAAAGGAACAATAAAACAAGAGGACATAATAAATATCTATGCACCAAATAAAAGACCAGCAAAATACATAAAACAAACATTAAAAAAAAAAGAAAAAGGAAATAGACAACACTACGATAGTGCTTGGACACTTCAATATACAGTCTCAAGAAAAGATAGAATTACCAGAAGAAATCTCAACAGAGATACTGAAGAATTACACTACACTATAAACCAAATTGACCTCATAGATATTTATAGACTAATGCACCCCCAAAAACCACAGCATCCCTTCTTCTCCAATGTGCATGGAACATTCTCTAGAATAGATCACATTCTAGGTCACAAGGCAAGCATCTATAAATTAAAAAACATAGAAATAATACAAACCATCCCTTCAGATAATAATGCCACAAAATTAGAAATTAATAATAGGATGATAAAGGAGGGGAAAAAACATACATTTGGAAGCTGAACAACACCCTGCTTGAACATGACTGGGTATTAGAACAAATAAAAAATGAAATTAAAAAGTTTCTTGAAACAAATGACAATGAAAACACCACTTACAAAACCTCTGGGAAGCAGTCAAAGCAGTCAATTTATAGCAATAAGCAAGCACACCAAAAGGCACGAAAAACAGACGATTGGTGCTCTAACCCAATATCTCCAGCAAATTTGAAAAAGAACAGCAAGAAAACCCGACACCTTCTAAAAAAAGTGAAATTATAAAAACTAGAGGAGAAATAAATGAAATATAGAAAACAGGAAAACAATTGAAACCATCAACAAAACTAGGAGTTGGTTCTTTAAAAAGGTCAACAAAATTAACTGGATAAAATCTGTTTACTGCATTGAAAACATTGAGGGAGAGAATAGTTTAAAATTAATATATTTTAGGACATTATGATTATCCTAAGAGTCTGGAATGAGGGCTGCAGAGTGGAGTATACCTGGGGTAGGGGTGAGGATGTGTGGGGTGGGTGAGGATGTGT